GGTATTTAAAAGACGTGTAGATGTGGTGCTTAGGGACATGGTTTAGTGGTGGACTTGGCAGTGCTAGGTTAACGGTTGGACTTGATGATCTTAAAGGTCTTTTCCAACCTAAATGATTCTGTGATTCTATGAAAACCCGAAAGTGTAACCAAGTAAGTTCAAATTTCAGCCAGTTTTTCCCAGAATAATAAAAGGGCACACATTTTAGGCAAGATGAAACAAAACCCTTGCAATATCTCATTTACAAAGCGCGCTCTACCTCCTTTAGCAGGACAAAGTGTGAAACCTAGCTAGGTACATAAGGCAATGATCTTTTTGTCTCAGATATAGCAATGATATTGGCATATGAAACAAGTAAAGGTCAAGTTACAAGCTGTGATTTGCTAAGTCATTTTCTGCATCTATGTCCCTGCTCTGTAAGTTATGAAGCCCATTGCAAGTGAATTTAAAGTGTAGCAGAATACCACAGTAGAGAAAGTAATTAATCATATGATATTAATAACTAATAATGTATTATTTTGAATCTATTCTAATAGTGGTATTTTAAAGATATCAAAGGCTTGAATCCAGGAGTACCTATCTTAAAGCCTTCAACCCTCTTTCCCACCTGGCCAAAAGAACACCACAACAAAAATCCCACCCAACCTAGGAACAACAATCCCCTTCCAAATTTCAGATGACATCTAGCAACACACAACTTCTGCCAGGTACAGAAGTTAACGCACACTAAACAAAGCAATGCCACATGCATTTTCTCCAAATTTCTTCCTTTTCTTTTACTTTTACTCATTCCATGATGTAATAACCTGTGCCTTTTTACTGCCTCCTCTTTAAAAATATCTACTTATTAGGATGAAGAATATTCTGACTTCTAAAAATCCAACTACTAGCAGGCTTCCTTGCACTTTCTGTTTGGCTGACAAGCGCTCATTAGCCTGCAATTACAAATTTATACACAGAAGTACTCAGGGATGGAAATCACAGAGGGGGCTTGATGTTCGTATGTTTTGTTTTTCCCCTCTAAGCAGGAACATCTCTGATGATTTTCACACTTAAATAGCAGAACAGATCTTATGAATCATTTTTTCTTCCTGGTTGGAACAACCCCTATTCCCTGTTGCATTATAATACTGAGTCACTTTACATAAAGTTGATCATTACTGCCAAGTCAATGGAGAGAGGAGGGAAGTGGACGAAATGCTCTGAACGTACGTGTGCAATAGGATACATATCAGGCTGCTTCTTGAAGCAAATTATTTAAAATCGGGGGGAAAAAAAAAATCATTACAAGACAACTCATGTAAGGGAAAACTATTTCACAGACATTGAAAAAGTCCAGTAAATCTAATGTAATACTGATGATCAAATGGATTGTAAAGACACTTTTTTTTTTTTTTTAAAATGAAGCGAGGCTCTGGCCTGTTACAAATGCTGAGTCGTACTGGTCATTCACGCTAGATTACCCAGTAAGTTAAATAATTAGTGTGGTGGAATCTGTTTCTCCCGAACTATGGCACTGTCAAATGAATAGTTATGAGGTCTGGTGGAGCCCTGCTGTCTCAACATCACCTCCCCTCCTAACATCACGCCCTGACACTGGCAGCCTGCGAAGACACTTGTCTGTCTCAGAACTCCTTCGTGTAACTCAGTGACTCCAGGTCTACTTTCTGTTGGCTCTGGTGGAGCACGAGCTTAGTGAATTTACAGGGTGCTACAAGGAACATCTATTCCAGATTAGCCTTTGCAATTCTGGGCTCACAACAGGGAAAGGAAGGGTTCCCCCTCTCTCCCCTCAATCCTAGAGGAACAGGGCTGGTGCAAGGAGGGAGCTTCAACAACTTTGATTTATTAGTTTGTTTTAAATGCATAGCGTGACTATTAGGTGAGTGAAATAAAATTAGGTACCTTAATGATAATTTTTCAAGAAAGCTGATTTTAAAGAGTTAAAAAAAAAAAACCCACAACAGAAAACACCAGCCAAAAACTGCTTTTCTGCATGTCCTGTTTAAGCAATGACACATGAAGAACTTTATGTTCGAACAGTTACCTGGTACTTTAAATAGGACACTAAGGGAATAACATATTAAAATGTATTCAGACAGCATGAGACTAATCCTTCTCCTGGGAATACCAGTGCAAATCAGAGTAACTCCTCAGAGGTCAATTGAAGTACACCAGCATAAAACAAACGTGAGGCAGAGGGGAATCAGGCCCCATCTACCTCTATTTTAATGCAGAGGTTGCAGATCATCTGCAATGATAAAGTGAACAACATAAATATAACTGACATCTATTCAACTGATCTCACATCCTGCCGACTATTCACAGCTCCAAATATAGGGCTGAAGAACAATGGTTCGAGGAAAGGAGGCAGAAATCCTGGTTCTACCCCATTCACACATTCCTATCTGCTAATACCTCCAACTTCAACTGCCTTCATCTCCCCACACTGCTAAATCATTGTAGGTTTAATTTGACATTGTCCCCCTGCTCCTGAAGAACAACTTCTCTTTACAACAAAATAATAAAAAAAAATATATACCAGGATGCACGGGAGAGAAGATAAATGCAAAAATCTGTGCAAGCATGAGAACCTACAGACAAATAAGCAAGAAAATCCCTATCTAACATACCATATATATATAAAGGGCACTAGAAAATTGATTAATTATTTGGAAATCTGGCACTGAGAAAGAATGGTATGTGCGCAGGGGAGGAAGACTAAAATATGAGGCTATTGAAAATTATGGTGCCATTTGTGCTAATTTAAATGGATCTGTAATTATTTCCTACAACTTCATGATGTCCTGAACCAGCTTCCTCCTCCCCTGCCAGGCTGATAAAAGGATCCTTAGCAACACACTAAATATATTATGCAATGTACTGAATACTACCGAGAAAAAGCACTGAATTACACTGAAACAAAGAACATCAGGTGCGAACATCACCACCTCCAGGGAAAGATCACCTTTAACTATTTATCACGTCAGTAAGCGCAGGCATTCTCTTACATCTCTGTTACCAGCACCTAACGGTATTTGCTACATTTAACAAAGTTAAGGCAAATTTTACCTCAAATCTACTTAGGCTCGAGCTCTTTGACCGAGATTTCTTGCGGAGATAGACAGAGAAGAACCGACGCACTGTGAACTTCTTCATGTTCATGTCCATTGCCCCGTCCCAGCTGCGGCACGGAGCACGAAGGAGCTGCAGCGCCGCCGGAGAAAGCTAGCGCATCCCGATTGCCCCCTATTTACATCCACAGGCAGGAGATCCTCCGAAGTGTCTGCTTCTGTTCATCAAGCCGGGCACTGCTAGACCTGCAAGAGGTGCGTTGCCGGAGCTATAGGAGCCTGCTGCTTGCAGTTCGGAGCATAAAGGCGTTATACTCCCTCTCGCTTTCCAGTGTTTACATTTCGGTGCGGCGAGCCGAACTCTCTCTCCGCTCCCTCTCCCCCTCGCCTTAGGTCCTACTACATCCAATCAGGCTCTGCTTTGGCTGCATGCATAATCAGCTCCGGCAGATGACAGCTCCTGCGTCCCAGGCGTAGCAGGTTTGAGATAAATATTAGATGTGTCTATTGCTTTGCACTCCCTCTCCTCTCAGTCAGGCTCTTTCAATTTCCTGGTTTCCGAATCACATGGGGAATAGGCACATGCTGCACTTCTGTTTTTAGCTCGGAATTTCAACGCTGCTATAATTACTGAGGGCTATGGTGGTCAGATCCAAGAAGAAATTGGCTCCCGCAGGAGACTCTCTCCTGGGAGAAGGCTGAAAGACGCCATGGCCCCACTGCCAGAGCAGAAGGGTCTGAACCTCCTTTTATTCTGGGGGGTATGCAAAATAACATTGCTGCGCCTGCCCCCCCGCCCCAATCAAAAAGCTTAAAATCCTGTTCACAGATTACCCGCCCGCTTTACATTAAAATACCTAAAGCTGGCACAGCTCTGAAAATAGGAAGCACAATCTAAATGGTAAACATTACTATTCTTACTGTACTACAGCAGGGAGCTACAGCCCTTTTAAGAGGTTAAATATGTACATCTATTTACAGGCTGCGATTTTGAGCTGCTCACTATACTGCAAGCATGCAGACTTACAGCTGCACCCCACCTCCCCAACATAATCACATTTTTCAGCTTTTCTTCAAAAACTAATGAATCTCAGTGTGATCCAGAGACCAAAGGGCTTTCTCTGCCTGCCGCACACAACTCGGGCTCCTCGTCCTTGGCAGCCTTTCCTTTCTGACTACCAAGGAGCACCCAGACATGCCTTTCTCCCATAACCTCATATGGAAAGTGAACGACTCTGATGACTTATTAATGACTCAGATAAATAAGCCCAGAGAGAGCTGACACTGCTACAGCCTAAGACGACTCTTGGAGGTTAAATGACAATACTATTTCAGTCAATCTGCTCTAAAAGAGAGAGACTAATTTTGCTTTAATTGCACGTCTGCACTCTGCCGTGAACTACATTGGCTGGTCATGCCTGTCACTACCTGCTTTGTTCACAGGTTCTCTGTCCCTCTCTTCTGTCTAAAGCTCACCACAGTCTATATGTACCTGGAAAAGAAAAAAAAAACCCAAACCAAACCAAAACAAAAAAGAATATTTTGGCATTTACGGTTTCAGTAAGAAGGAGGTCAGATTGGAGAGGCTACCTTCAGTGTTGGGCTCTATAATCTCCTACAGCCTCTGGCTCTTCTGTGCCTGGACCACTGCTGTCTCCCCCAGCCTAAGATAAATGTAACACAATGGCAATCTGCTTTATCCCTTTCTCTTCTCGGCGCCTCCTTCTGATCGCTTCTCTAATTCTCTTGGTTTGCAACAAAAGTGTATCTTCTGGGGTTGCTTTCAAGGTGCTGCCCCAGTGTAAGCTGTGGCAAGCCTAGGAACCCTTTGCACTACAGCTGTGTTGGTTCCTGGCAAAAGATCCTGGAGTGGAGGCAACTGTCCCAGCAAAAACTGAGCTATCTATAGGTACACCAAAACTCTTTCCACAAGCAAAACAATAAACAGGTAAAAAAGCATTTTGGTTGGTATAACTGTCAAACTGCTTCTTCCTGTGCCCTGCCCTCTTGTCTGGCAAAGAGATGTCCTGACACGAGTTAGGCTGGGCTTCACGCTGACAAAGGCTTTTGGCAGCCACACACATTCTTACCTTTGTAAGCCACTTGAGCTTTAAATAGCAATCAGACAAGATCAGGGTACCTCCCTGAACCCTTCCCATCACAGATACAATGAAGTCCCACCTGGACACTGACATCTTTATTTATGCAGAGGAGATGATAATTTCCCAGCTTTGAATACACAGGGTACTATTCCACTCTGTGTAATACGCGGTATATAACAGGCTGTTATTACTTACACTAGTAGATTTGTCACAGCCTTCCCATTACGCACGTAGTACTTCAACATACAAGCACACGCAGTCACCATTAAATGTACCTGCTCTTTAATAAACTTCCAAGAGGATTACACGGGCTATGACTTAATACCTAACTATCAGGTACACTTATTACATTCACAGTTTTGTTCTTTACCACGAAAGAAAAAAAAAAAACAAAACCAGTTACAATGTATCGGCAATTTATTGTGAACACCAAAGCAAAAGCTAGCCTTCGATGCTAAAGGTTAGACTGTAACACAAACAGCATGCCCAGGCTAGGAGGTAAATCTCTTCTTACATCCCTGCCAAGACACAGACATGGAAATAGGCATGATCTCCTTGCTTTCTTACTCCCCTTTCAACCACATGGATTAAATACAGAAGGACAACCAACCACCAGCGCCAGGACATTGCTCTTCAACTACTGGGCAGCAGAGCAACAGAGATATTGCAGAGTGTATCTCCTAACTGTAAAAAGCAAGAGCAACCGAGTTGCAAATTGTACATAAAAAGAGTACAGATACAGAAATAAAACAAAATACATAAGCACGTAAAACTAAAGCATAGGGACAGATACCTGAAGAGCAAATTCTACTACAGTTGCATTCACATGGTATGCTTCAAGACATGGAACCTAACTTTGCTTCAGAAAAACAAAGGAGAAGAGGCTTCAAAAACATTAACTCAAACTTTCAGCTAGTCAGACAATATCCACTTTTCCCAATGACACTAATAAAAAGGTGCAAGCAAAAAAATAAATCAGATTAAATTGGAACATTCATTGTTATATTTATAAACATACAACTGTCAGATCAACCTACAACGTGAAAAATTCATTGCACTTAGAAATTCATGGCTGTAAATTATTTATTAGCTCACCTCTCGGCAATTTTAACTGCTGAGGAACTTGATGGAAAAAGAAATCCACCAAATGTCTTTATTTAAGACAAGAATAAACAACAAAACTGGTGGAGGGGGCACGTGACACATTGGCATCAACCAGTAACACTCTGTATTCTGAATTACACTTTTTAGAACTAGAGTCATATTTGCTGTAACACAAAATAAATAAATAAAAGACCATGGCTGTTCCTGCTCCCAGTGAAGTTAATAGCAAAATAAAGTTTACTTCAACTGGAAAAGGGCTTAAAAACCCAAGCAAACAAAAAAAGCCCCAAACCAGGATTCAAGGCAAACTCTCTAACAGAAACCACTTGAAATTAGATATTACACAGCCCAGGTTCCAATTTTTAAAAGATAAATGGAAAATTCCCAATTAATATCCAAAGAAAGCCAAAGGTCCCTTCCTCACAGATGGACCATACCAAGAGTAGTAACAGACTGAAGGACCCAGACTTAGGAAATTCACACGGGGCAGCGAAGCAGCCTGCACGGAACCCAAGCGAGAAGGATGCCAGTGGCCGATGCCGGATGAATCATCAAGTTCTAAAGAAACAAAATAACTTGAGCTAATTGTTTGCATGAAAGAATGCACAAGTCCAAGACATCTACCACAAACCATAGGCTGGACGATAAAATTACTGAGAGAAATTTTGTATTACTGTATTACACAGCACGTCAGGCCCTATTTCCAAAATGGACCTTCTAACTTTACATGTGAATCAACAATTTATGAGCAAAACCAGAATGACTCTGCTACTTGAGCAAATTTAGAGACCACTGTAAAAGTAAAAACATACGAGTTGATACTATCTTCCTTGCAAATGCAATTGGTATTACCTATCCTTCCTCAATAAGTTCATCAGAAAAACAGAAAAAACCCCAGAGAAGTAAGAAAGCATTCAAAGGCACAGACACCATAGACAGAACAAGTAAGATTAGCAGAACATGGCATGCAGAGAAAGGGAAAATGAGACTCACACAACAGAGGCCCAAGAGACAATGCTACAGAAAAGGTGAATTATACAGTACCATTTATGCTCTCATTAAAGAAAATCAAGAGCAAGAGCAGATGTTTCCAAGAGACACCAATGAGCAGAATAAGAAACAACACTTTCCCCCAGGTGATTAGATGGTACATGACTCTCAGTGATTGCTGTTTCCTGATCTTGAATGCCGGACAAATTTCCATATGGCTTTTGTTTCCTCAGTGAACAAGTAAAGTGGTTATTTTTGTTATTGATGTTTCTTTAAAAAAACATGATGGGCTTTGCTCAAAGAAATGCCTGGGCTTTGATCTCATTGGATCAGCGAACCAATGTGGGTCCCAGCCTTTCCAGCTGACGTACCTAGTTAAATACCTTCCAGCTTAGCAAGCCACTTACTTGACTGGAGTTTTCTCTCTCTAAAAAAAAGGATACACTGCCCTGCCAGCACTGTGGAATACATACAGCAGCTTGCCATCTCAAACTTGCTTCTCACCAGCAGTGATAAGTGATCAGCGATGTTGGCTGGATGGGGATGTAAGGGAACAGGCAGGAAAGAAAGTGCTTATTCTCCCTTCTCTCACCTCCTCCTGCTCCTATCGGTGTGTATCACGAACTTCAGTAATTTTCAACCTTTTCCGTATATGAACTATGAGAAGTTTCCAATGGAGGTGCAGGCACCTTCAGCCATTTTGCAAATCAAAATCACTGCTCAGAAGGAAGAAGAAAGCAAAATCATACATCTTGTCTAACTGTGTCTGATGAACTAGCAGATGCAGACTCCTCGGCCACAGTCTTCTCTGCTCCAAGGAGCAACATAACAGACCTACAGTACCTGTTTGATCTTGTACTTGTAGTCTCAAGGCCTTGGGAGTCTGGGCAAAGACAGAGGATCTCTTATACTCACATATCTTTAATTCCATAATTGCTAAAAACATTGTCCAACACGTTGGCAATTATATGAAAAGTGACAAGTATATATACACAAGTGGAACAATCAAAGAGAACGACTCGGTTTGAAAAGACCAGTTTTGCTCAATATGGTGACATTCCGATTAGTGGATTCCATTCAACAGCTTCAAATGTTCTTAAAACTGGGCATCCAAATAAGTTCTTGGTAGATTTGAAACCAGTATTTTGCATCTAAGCAAGTAGCTTGGATGGAAAGTCTTCTGCACTTTTCTCTCTAACAGCCTACTTCAGCAGATGAGATTAAAAAAAAATTACTTAGTGGCACTGAAAGGGTGAACCATCTC